TTACAGTAAACTGAGCATGAGACTACACCCTCACACACATGGCACCCTGGGGGGGGTGGGGGGAGAGAGACCACAATAGGGCCGAGCGGAAGGAAGGGGAATACTATGGAAAAGAAGTCCTAAGAGCCCTTAGCTGGTCAAAAAGCCTCACAACACACAAAGCTGGACCTTATGTTGGCTAATGGTGGACTTCCCACCACAGGCTGGCTTTCTGGCAGGTCTTCTGCTAGTGGCCGGTCCTCTGTAGTGTCCTTCCTCCTTCAGGTATGAGGTACGCCATACCTCATGCTATACTCTGGTCTCAGACCCAAAACTTAAGGTCACTCCAAAGGAGCAATTGGGCTCCAGGACAGTCATGATCTGCTACACGCAGACAGTGGGAGGAGGAGAGGAGAGACCCTCTTTATTTCTGAACAAGGCCTATATATGCTTAGGGACCCTGCAAGCGCCCCGATACAGGTAACCACATACGCCACAGGAAGGGGTTAAGTTATATGTTCTTCAAAGGAAAGTATAACTTTTGTTTCAGGCTAAAAATTAAAGTACTTATTTCTTTAGACATAACTTATGTAACATGTTAAATAGCTTCAAAGCTAACTGTACAATGAAGTCACCTGGGGAGTGTGGAAAAACACCTTTCAATAAATTCCATTTCCAGAAATTCATCCTTAATAGCTTTAGGGTGGGTGTGCCCTTATAATTCTTAAGTTCTCAGGGGATCATAGAGTTAACATCAGAGTTGAAAATCACTTAGACCAGTCTTCAGTCTTTAAATTGCATAGAATTTCCATAAGACTTTTAAAAAACAAAATACAGGGCCGTGCCTCTAGATTTCCTGATTCAGTAGGTCCTGGTAGAGTCCAAGGAAAGACCTGCATTTTAAACAAGTTTTCAGGCAGTGCTGGTGCTACTACAGATTATGGACTTACCATATGGCCTAGTGGTTCCAATCTGCTGGAGAAATATTAACAAGCCAGATTGGCAGGTGCAATCCAGACCAATTAATTATATCAGAATCTCTGGCAGGCAAGTTTTAAAATTAAACATAGGGTGGATTTCTTTATAGGAGAGCTTTCTATAGCTAAATACATAGTGATTTCTCAAGAAAGTGGTACAGTAAGCAGTATTTCCAAAACTATTTTGAAGACAAACACTTCTGTCAAGGAACAAACTAGCTTACAGCACAAAGCAGCAATTGCTTTGGGTGGCATGGGAGACATTGCCTCTCACCTGGTTCCAGATGCATCTCTGGCCAAACTTCCTAACTCTACTGCACCTGCATCTATTAAAATACTACAAACTTGATCACCATGGTCTTTTTTCTTTAAAGCAAAAACCTTGGTAACTTTTTATTATGTATATATTGTGGTTATGGTTTCATATATATCATCACCATAATCAAGGTAAAACAGATGACGGTCACCAGAGTCTCCTCATGCCTCTCTGTAGGTCCTTCATTCTCCCCCACCCCAGCTTCTCATCACCAGACCACCACCAACCCGTTTGCTGTCACTATACATTTATTTCCATCTTGCAAAATCATCTATCATAGAATCATTCAATACGAACTGTTTTTGTCTGGCGTCTTTCACTCGGCATCCTGATTCTGAGATACATTATGTTCTTGCACGTGTCGGTAGTTCATGTTTCCAGACTTTCTGGCTACTGTGAACAGTGCTGGCTGTGCCGCGGTGTCTAAGTCCCTACTCTCAAGTCTCGCCTGTGTATACCGATGAGCAGAAGGAACTCCTGGGCCAGACTGCAGTTCTGGTTTTAGTTTCTTGCAGAGCCGCCACACTGTTTCCACTATGGCTGTACTATTTTGCATTCATACCAGCAATTAACAGATAAAAATTCCAAAATCTCCACACCCTCACCAACATTGTTATATCTTACTTTTGTTTGTAGATCTTAGCGATCCTAATGGGAAGAACATGAGATCTCACTTTGGTTTTCATCTACTTCTCTTTGATGGGTCATGATGCTGAGCATCTTTTGATGCCTTCTGGCCATTTGAAGGTCCTCTTTGGAGAATACGTCATTCTCTTAATTTCTGAGTGCTAGCGTATGGTAGCACTGTCCCACAACTTGCTTATTCATTTACCTGTCCACAAATACCTGGGGTTTTTTTTCTCTCAAATAAAGCTGCTGTGAACATTCTTGTACAAGTCTTTGTGAGGACATATGCTTTTATTTCTCTGGGTAAATAATACTTAGGTCAAATAGTAGGTGTATGTTAAGCTTAAATATAATTGGCATAAACTTAGCATAAACTGTTAGAATATCAGCTGAACAGTCTCCAAATGGTCAAAATCATTTTACATTCCAGTAGTATATGATGAGCATTCCGGTAACTCTACATTGCCAACACATGGCACAATCGGTTTTTGTTAATATTAACCATTGTAATAAGTATTTCATTGTGGCTTTAATTTGCATCTCTCCAGGGTGACTCTGAGTCAGAACTGACTCAATGGCAGTGAGTCTGGTTGGTACAGGAATAAAGGTGCTAACCAAGATCCCATATGCTGACTTGTCCTTTATTGATATTCTTTGGAACAGCCTATGTTCAACTCACCACTGAGCACACATAGAAATGAAAATAATCTTTACACGTGTCTTTGTATCACTTGCTCTTCACTGAAAAACCTTGCTCCCCGGGACTTGCATACATTGCCTCAACATTTAGATACACAGCCAAAAATTTTTTTCTCTTCCACCCCAGGTTCCTTCGCATACATTGCCTCAACATTTAGATACACAGCCAAAAATTTTTTTCTCTTCCACCCCAGGTTCCTTCTCATATGATGCAAACCACCCCAATATTAGTTGTCCAAATAGGCATCATTTTCACAGACTGCTAAATAAGAAGCTGCCAGAGTTGTCATGGTTGCAATGCTGTGCAGCTCTTTTTAGGTGAGAATACATGTGGATAATGTAAGCACCTCTAATGGGTGATAAACTGTACCTGGATGAACTATACTTAATGGCTCTGCCACAAGCACAAAGTCAACTGAAAGGCAAATTTGGGAGTGGAACCTTCCCATAATCTGGATACTTGGTGTCCTGGGACAACAGTCATGCCTTCGCAGTTAGCCTTAAGAATCCATCTGGAATTCAGGAGTATCAGAACAAACTGAGTTTTCTAATACCAAATTTTGTCCAGACCAAGTTCAAACAATATTCTCAATAGAATATTGGGTTCTAAGAACGAATTGGGAGATAGTTCCTCCTCCTCCTCCTCCTCACCACGGTCTTTTTCAACATTACTGCAGGCACCCTGAAGCCCAATGTCACATTTTACTTATCTTTGAATCCCTAGTGTTTCATGTGGTGCTCAATAGTACCTGGTTCTCAATAAACATTTGTTGCATGAGTAAATACATTTATATTCTTATTTTCTAAAGAAAGGTAACTATAGCAACTATAGCTTTTATGCAGCTGAAACTTAGCAGTGGTTTTTCTATAGTAAAAAATCAGAGTTGAACAGCTCTACCTTAAATTATAAAGGGACTGTTTGCACTTAGAGATGATATTTAACCTGCTTCATGATTTGTCATGTTTCAATTCACTAATAACTTCAAAGGGATAAAAGGCCTTTGAGAGTTTTTTACCTTGGTGGTGCTGTGGGTTAAGTGTTGGGCTGCTAACTGCAGGGTCAGCATTCAAACCACCAAGCACTCAGGGAGGAAAACGAGGCTGTCCATAAGATTTACTGTCCAGACACCCGACACACAGTCACTGTGAGTCTAAAGGCACTGAATAGAAGTGGGTTTGGGCTTGGGTAAAAGCATTTCGCCAATGCTTTGGGGGAACCCATCACTTCCCCCCAAAAGATTTGACATTGTTTTTGACATTAACAATAAATGGATTTCTAAAACCCATTAAGAAGCCAGGGAAAATTAGGCTGATTTGAAATTTTTAATTTCTCAAATTTAGAACTCACTAAAATCAATTCTGGATTTTATAAATAACAGTATTTTTTTTTTTCAGGTAACAGGCTGCATATCTAATTCAAGTCAATCAACTTTGGTAAGTATCATTTAATTTGGAAGATTATAAACTTAAAATTACATTCCTTTAGTGGCACAAAAGCAAGTGTTTGATTTTATGCTATAAAGGAGATAGGGTCCATTTGATAGCTTTTTGACATTGTCTTCTATACGCTTCATAAAGTTAAAATAATCACATATATACAAGTCTCAAAGGTTACCATAAGGTAACCTTGTAAGAGTACATTGCTTCTCAAAATTTCCCAGTGTGTACTAAGGTAAGGAACATCCCTGGGTGGTACAAATTATTTGCTCTCAACGGCGAACGAAAAGGTTGGAATTCTCAACCCTCCCACAGCAGCACTGTGGAAGGCAGCTATGTGTCTGTAAAAAGCACAGCCAGGAAAACCCAGGAGCTCAGTGCTGCTCTCGTGTGTGGCCACCACGGACTGAGGCTGACTCGATAGCGAGGAGCTTGGTTTTTAATGCGCGACTGTACCTATTAGAGAACATCATTCATGTTAACAGTGACATGTATTTGCTTTAAAGGTCAATGAAAGTTACTTTCACGTGTATTTGTTCAAAAATTGATTACTGCCTATTACATGTCTATCATATGCCAGGCACTGTCAAGGAACTATAGTTACACAACAAAGAAAATAACATTCCTCATTTGGCTTAATTACAGTCATATTAAAACTGCATATTTTTCCTAGGACAAAAAAAAGTAGAAACATTTTTGTATTGCAGTTCAAACTAGCCACAGTGATTATTGCAAGGAAAAAGGAAATACATGAACCTAAAAGCCACTCGTTTATAAAAGTTAGAAAATTTTCAGCAAGTCTTAGAAAGTAATAGATACTGTATGCACTCATGTATAAGCCGAGTTTTTTCAGCATATTTTTAATGCAGTTTTTGTGGTAAAATTAGGTGTCTCGGCTGATACTTGGATCGGCTTATACTTGCATATATATGGTAAATGAAAATTTCAAAATAATCAGTGTTTACCTTTGAATTCCTTCAAGAATATCCTTCACAGCTGCCATTAACTTTTGAAGATATATAAATGCTTCTTCAAATGATGCTATATTTGAAGTAGTTAGAGCTGAATTAGAGCCCAATCTTTGAAAAACATCTGTGCTAAAGTACAAAAAAGAAAAGGCAGTCATAAGTACACATGCATATTTATTGAAATATACTGTATAATATTTGTAAACTTCCATTTGTAAACTGTCAGTGTATAAAATAAAGCAGGATTTATTTTAATATGCTGATCTATTTAAATTAGAATAAAAGAGAGTCCAGGTTCAGAGATATGCAAAGGATTGAAGTCAGAAACTCTTCAGGTCTAATATAAAATAAAATGTACCTTCAGAGATGGCTAAATTATGTTTCACTCCAGGAAACCAAAGGAGACATAGGAAAAGTAACAAAATCAATTTACATTCAACTCAGGACTCCAGAATATGAAACAAACAAAAAACTAGACATTAGATCATTTGTTGAAACAGGAAGTTATAAACATGTATCCAATTTTTGCCCTAGTAATTCTATTTCTAGAAATCTATTAAAAATTACTTAAAATTATTCACATTACAGTAACCATTTCATAGCAACCTGCATGCTCAGCAATGTGCAGTGCTGTTGTCCCTGGCGGGGAGCCCACGCCAACTGCAGGCAGCCTACTGCCTAACAGACTGCAACACTGCCCAGTCCGCACCGTCCTCCTGAGCCCTGCTATGCTGGAGCCCACTGCTGCAGACAATTAACAGAACATCAGAGCAATCATTAAAATGAGGTGCATGGCATCTCCGATTTTTTTTAAAAAACAATGCAAAGACTGAAAACCTACATGACAAAAACCCATGGCCATAGACTCTATTTCAATTGGTCAGAATAGAATGGCAAAGGGTTTTCCAAAGCTGTAATTCTTTACTGGAACAGACAGTCTCATCTTTTTCCTATGGGTTGTTTGGTGGGCTTGAACTGCCAAGCTTCTGGTTAGCGAATGTTGAGCCAAGCAGCCAAGTGCTTAACCAACTGCACTACTACATGTGAACATAAAATGTTAACCATGTTGACTATGGTTACATTTAAGTAATAACATTTATTCTCAAAGCATTTTTTTCTTATTATGGTAAAATACACTTATTTTACAAACTTTTAAAGTATATGATTCAGTGAAATTCAGTAAATATATAATGTTGAACAACCACCACTATCTCGTTCCATTTTCATCATTTCAAAAAGAAATTCTGTATTTTATAAACAATCACCTCCTATTTTCCTCTCTGTCAAATCTTGGGCAACCACAAATCTGCTTTCTGCCTCTGGATTTGTATATTCTGGATAGTTCATATAAATGGATTCAAACAATATGTGATTTTTGTGTGTGCCTAGATTCATCCACTTAGCATATTATTACTGTGATCCACATTATAGCACGCACCAGTATTTCACTGTTTCATGCCTGAATTATATAACATTTATAGACGTAACATTTTGCTTATACCCTCATCAACTACTGTGAACAGTTGAACAGTTATGAACATACACTGTTCAAAAAAAACATTTTTTGTCTGAATATCTGTTTTCAATTCTTTCATTATGTACCCAGGTGTGCAAATGCAGGGTTATATGGTAATTCTATGCTTCATTTTTCAAAATACAACCAGTCTGTACTCCACAACATCTGTGCCATTTTTTGTTTCCTACAAACAATATATAAGGGTGCTAATTTCATCACATTCTTATTCAAACTTACTATTACTGGCATTCTAATGAAAATGAGTGTTACTCCACTGTTTTTTATTCCCCTTTCCTTAATGACTAATACCACTGTCAGTCTACCAGTTTGCTGGACTGTGGTGGCTTATGTGTTGCTCTGAGGCTTTTAATTATGTCACTGGTATTTCAAAGACCATCAGGGTCACCTGGTGAACAGTTTTAGTGGAGCTTCCAGACTCAGGGAGACTAGAAAGAAAAGCCTGGTGATCTAATTATGAAAATTAGTCAATGAAATGCCTATGGATTACAGCAAAACATTGTATAATACAACAGTGGAAGATGAGTCTCTCAGGTTGGAAGGCAAAGTACGGTGCCTGCAACAATCAACTCATGCATCTTAACAATCCAGAAGAATGGGCACCAGTTCATTCCGTTTTACCAGCATCACTGTGAGCTGGAGCCAACCGAACCACAAGAAACAGTAACTAATGACATTGAGAATCTATTATTCATGAGTTTGCTGGCCATCTATATATTCCCTTTTAGAGAATTTCCTATCAAACTCCTTTGCCCACTTTTGAGTTATTTCACATTTTGTTCTTGAGTTCTTTGTATACTCTGAATACTAGATACATGATTTACAAATACAGTGAAACATGTGAGAATTCAACAGGGCTGTCTTGTTCTCCCAGGTCTTGAGTTTTATGCCTTTGACTAGCAGTATTACCTTCTATCCCTCATTTCAGTGGAAAATAAATTTGTGTTTTGAGCATAGATATGTCTATTTCTATTCATGCCCCCGTTCTTATTTTTCTAAGATATATACCTAGCCACTAGTGGGGTTGCTAAAATGAGCCCTTGTGGCATAGTGGTTATATGTTGGGCTGCAATCCAAATCATTAGCAGTTCAAAACCACCAGCATCTCTGAGGGAAATAGACTAGGCTATGTACTCCAGTAAAGTTACAGTCTTGGAAACCCACAGTGGGTTCCTCTGAGTCAGCACTGGCTGGATGGCAGTGAGTTTTGAGTGGGATGGCTGAATCAACTATTATTTCTATTTCAAACTCTTTAAGCAAGTGCCATAGTTAAGCATTTTCTTTAAGCACACTCTAAGCATTTTTCCACAGTGGTTATACCATTTTCCAGTCCACAAGAAATTCATGGAAGTTCTTTTCTCTCCACACCCATGCCAGTATTGGATGTTTTTGTTCTATTGAACTGTGGCTGGGTATGATGGTATCTCATTGTGGTTTTGACTTGCATGGTCAAATGCCTGAAAATCACTATCACTTCCCTGTGTTTCTTGGCTGGCTGAATGTCCTTTGGTGAATGTCTGTTCTGTACATTTTGTTTTGTTTCTTATGTTTTATTGGCACATAATCCATATATCATACAATTGAATAGTTTAATCATATCAAGAAGATATACATAATATATAACCCCACGATCAATTTTCGAACATTTTTTCTTGTATTCATCGACATTAACTCCCCAATTTCCCCCACTAACTCCTCTGCCAAGAAATCCCAAGAAATCATCAATCCAGTTATAGTCTCTATAAATTTGCCTATTAATGTACAGATTCACAAATACCTGGATTTCATATATAGAAAAACATACCAAAAAACCCTAATATAATAATAATAGTAACATATAATAATAATAAGGGTTCTTGGAGGATAGAGGTAGGTAGGGAGGGGATAAAGGGGAGTTGATATCAAAGAGTTCAAGAAGAAAGAAAATGTTTGGAAACTGATTGTGGTAGCAACTGTGAAATTATGCTTGCTCGAATTGAATCATATGTTATAACTAATCTGTAAGAGCTCCCAATGAAATGATTAATTAAAAAACTATTAATAACAAAATAAACCAGGAAAAATCTCATTTAAGTAGAAATTTTTTTTAAAAGTAGAAATTTGAAAAAATTAAAACAACTTTAAAATGGGTCCAAAGGGAGATCAAATGATAAGGTGCTAAATTTTAACATAACTACACCTGCCATTATCCACTTTCCAATGTACTATTGGAATTCCTGGTTTACGATGGATCGGTATGTTTTTTAAATTAAGTTGCTTGCCTTCATCTCATTGCGGTGTTGAAGTTTTCTATATATTTTAGAGATTAGCCCTTTTTCAGATATGTCATTGCCATTGTTATTCTCCGATCTGAAAGCTCTTTGCACTTTCTTGGAGAATTCCTCTGATGCCTATAATGCTTCACTCTTACATGTTCTCATTCGTCTACTGTACCTGCTGCCACTGGTGCTTTCCTGGATAGCTCCACTGATCTACCTACACCATTAACTCTGTCCGTCACTAATCCACTCTCAGTACTTCAGAAGATCAATGTATGGTTGCTGAATAAATTACTGAATTTTTAATACAAATGATCTTCTGGAGTTGCTCTTCCCTTTGATATTCTGCTCTAGAATAACTAATCCTCATTTTGATTTAAAAACTCAAGAATAGCTCAAATGGTTTTGATGTGTGGCCTTAGCACAGTAAACTTGAAACACACCACCCAATACACACTAATCTGCTAACCACAAGGTGCAAGGTTCAAATCCATCAGTCGCTCGATGGGAGAAAGCTAAGAGAACTATTTACTCTCAAATATCTTGAAAGTCTCAGAACCCAGGGCCAGCGCTCCTGTCTTACAGGGTAGCTGCGAGTTGGGATCGACTCTGGGACTTTTGGTTTCCAAAAGGCTGTCTGTTTACATGTCTCTGCTTACTTATATCAATGTTCAAAACATTTTAGGGTAAATGAAACTATAATGGACAGCCTAGATGCCAATTCGCTCAGGAGTGGACAGAGAACTATCCTTAAAGAACAAAGAAAGCTGGCTTTCCCCTGTATTCCACAATATACAGCAAGTAATAAAGTGTGTCTGTAAAACAGCCACAAAAAAGATGAAAAATACATAGAAAGTTCCTAAGGAACAGTTCTGTTAACAATCTCTGAAGCCAAGGATGAGAATGTCCTACTACTTACTGTGTGGTTTTACCTTCCTTTGATAAAATATGTTTTAAAAACAGAACTACAGAGAATTTCAAATATGAAAACTTCACTTTTTTTTTAGACTTCACTTTTTCAGAAGTAGTTTGACTACGTTTCATTCTCTTTAAAAAAATTAAAGAGCAAAATAAAGTAACTGCCGTTGGTTGTAGTTATTAGTTGGCTCTGCCTCACAGTGATCTTACGTATAAGGGTATAAAACCTTGTCTGGTTCCATGCCAGCTTCATGGTCAATGGTATGTTGTAAGTATAATGTGGTAGCTATTAGACCACTCCCATCTCAATAAGGATTTCCCTCATTTTTGCTGACCTTCTACTTTACCCAATGTGATGCCCTTTATTTGTACAAGGAGTCCTGGAGGTGTAGTGGTTGGTTAACATTGGGCTGCTACACAAAGTCAGCAGTTGGAAACTACCAGCCACTCTGAGGGAGAAAGACAGGACTTTCTAGTCCCGGAAAGAGGTAGTGTTGGAAACTCAGTGGCAAATCTACCCTGTCTTCTACGTATGAGTCAGCAATGACTAGATGGCAGTCGTTTGGTTTGTTTCTGAGTTACTTGTACAAATGGGCTTTACTTACCTGAGTGATACATGACCAAAGGAAGACACTTCACTTGATCTTAGCCAAAAGGCCGAGAAGCACTAACAATTTTTAAAAAAATAAGTGCACTGCAGTCTTGGTATCCTGCTTCTAAGGAGCACACTGGATGTATTTCTTCCAAGAGTGATTTATCTATGCTAGCAGTCTGCACTATATTCAAAATTCTTTGCCAATACAATTCAATTACAATCAATTCTTTTGTTCACCTTTTTCATTGTACAACTCTTGCAGGCCTATCAGGTGACTTAAGAGACCATGACTTGGGTCAGGTGCACCTTAATCATCAAAGCAAAACTTTGAAACTTTTTAAAACTTTAAATAGGTCTTTTGCAGCAATTTGTTCAGTGCAATATGTTGTTTGCTTTCTTGATTGCTGTTTCCATCGACACTGATAATGAAAATAAAACTTGAAAATAGCAACGTTATCTCCATTTACAACGATGCCAATGATCGGTCCAGTTACGAATATTCTGTTTCCTTCGTTTTTCAGATGAAATCCACACTGAAGAGCATGGTCTTTCACCACGATTGGTGAGCACTTCAAGTCTGCTTCATTCGTAGGCAGCACGGCGGTGTCGTCTTACTTTAATGTAAGTTGATGAGTCTTCTTCCATTCCTGATGCCACATCCTTCCAAAGTCCAGCACAGATAAAGTGACATATGCAGCTCTGCCACACACCGTTTTTAACTGTGAACCTTACAGTGTCCGCTTCTTCTGTCTGAACCGTCTTTTAACCTCGTACAGGTTCTGCGTAACTTCAGGGACGTGTTCTGAACTCTCACTTTAGTTAATGTATAAGTTCTTTATTAACCACAAAAAGGGAAATCCTTAATAAATGATGGGGTGTTAATAAGCTTTACTTTCACCTTTTATTCCCAAATCATAATTATGTATTTTTCCCATAATCCATAAAACAGTAAACTTATATAAGAAAGGCGGAAGGAAGGAAGGAAGGAAGGAAGGAAGGAAGGAAGGAAGGAAGGAAGGAAGGAAGGAAGAAAAGCTAAACCAGAACTTAATTAACAAAACTTGCAGGGCTCTGAATGAAAATTAGAGGAGTCCCAAACTTACATGCTCAGATCACTTTTACTATTTTGAAAGAGAACGAACTAATGAGAGTCATTTAATTATTAATGCCAGGCACTAATCATAAGACCTATGATTATGATAACAGTATATGATAACAGAACAAAAACAAACACGCAACCGCAAATAAAAATAAGATGTTATTAAGTGTTGGAAAAAAAGGGAACCTTTTATAAAAGTAAATTGTTTTGAGCAGTCTGGACAGGTAGTGGGAAAAATTAGGAAATTTGCTCAAAGCATTGTGTAATAAATGTATTGTTCGTTTTTTAAAAGAAAATGAGAACTTTGGAGCATGAAATGGCATGCACTACACAACAGATAATGACTAGTTTAAAGTGAGATTTTTTTAAAGTTAGTATTATTTAACTTTGAATAAGAATTTTAAATGTCACATTTCTAACTAGTATTTTATATACCAGCTGTAAGGAACACAAAATACTTAACTGTTTTTAAATGAATGGAAGATTAAAATATATTAGATATCATATATTAGATTTTATTTTATTTTTAAAGTGGTAATTTCTGTCTGATACATATAACTTTCTGCTACATAACAATATATGGACATTGGAAAAAATTAATAAAACTAAAATTAAAATAGGTAAACATTGTCTGCTTCGGTTCTTATGTCAAACATAGCTATTTATATTAAGTCCGATAAGCTATAAAATAACCTGATAAACTACAAATTTGTTCTTAAATTATAGTCACGGATTAAAAAGTGGTGACCCTAGGGGTTAGGTATTGAGTTGCTAACTGACAAGTTTGTTAGTTCAAACACACCAGCCACTCCTTCGAGAAGGATGAGGCTGTGTGTGCCTAAAACAATGTACAACAGAGGTTCTCAAGCTGTGGCTCGTGACCCCTTCAGGGGTCAAAAAACCCTTTCACAGGGATTGCCCGATTCATAACAGTAGCAAAATTACAGTTATAAAGTAGCAAAGAAAATAATTTTATGGTTGGGGGGGCACCACAACATGAGGAACCATATTAAACGGTCGCAGCACTAGGAAGATTGAGAACCAATGATTTAGTCTGAAGTTCCTAAGAGTAGTTCAATTCTGTCTTACAGGGTTACTATAAGATGAAATCAAGTTGATGGCAATGGTTATTTGGGTTTGGTTTGATGTTTGAAGCCACACGTTATTACAAATGGCCAATTCAGAATAGATGTTGGAGGACTGATAGTACCCTGCTGTTCTCATGACCATTCAGAACACACTGAAACACCAAAACCCAATGCCATCAAACACATTCAACTCACAGCGACCTTACACGGGATTTCCTAGGCTTTGTAAATCCTTACAGGAGACAGCTTCAACTTTCTGCTGAGGACACTTTCGCCAGTGGCTTTAAATTGCCAACCCTGCAAGATTAGCCAACACTGTCCTCATGGCTTCTTTTGAGAACATTTAACTCACTCAAAAGCAACTTCAAATATAATCCTTAGTTCAGAAGGGGGACACTGGACCTTCAAACCATAATCACACTACAAATTTTGCTGTCAAATTAATTCTATAAAAATTATGGATCTAGAAAAAAGTGTTCATATATTGGGGGAAGGGGTAGGTGCCTTTGAAGAATAAGTTGCTTCAAATGATTATTCGGCTAATCTAGTAGTCTATTTGAAGAACTACTAAAAAATGGTCTCCCTCTCTTAATTCTACCAAGACCATACATAATAGTTTAAGCTTGAGTACATTTAAAAAAAAACTTTAATCTTCTCTTTATGTCATTCTCAATTATATAAAGGCCCTGCATCGAGCTAAGTTATGTGGCCAATTCTGGTCATTTTTCTTTTGTTCTGACAAATCATGGAGGCAGTACTACTCAAGTTCGGTTTCATTTATGAATCACGTGAGCCATTTTTTTTTAAATGACTTGACCCAGACTTGACAGACATGTCTGTCCTACTGGTCTAGAATGTGAAGGGCTTGTTTTTAGGGATATAAAAATAATGAAACTGCCCAAGTAACTCTGCATCTCCAGGTAAGAATCATTGTTTCTAAGGATCCAATTTAACACAAAGGCCTTTCGTCATAAGTGAATCTACGACACTGAATTCACAATCCCAAACACAATATCCTTAAAAACAAAACAAAGTAAAACAAAAAAACAAATGTATCACTATAGAATTCAATACTCTCCAGAGATTTAATACCTGTTCTGATATATTGTAATCCAAACATTCTCTAGGATAGACCAGATTTCTTGATTCCTGTTGGATTGGGGAAGCTGAGAATCCGAGAAAAGTGTGGTTTCTGGATTACTAGATTTCATCGAAGTCACTTCCTGCTGTTGACTCAGCGTGCTTTCTGAAGGCGTTGGCTTAAGTTTTGCCTTGACCTGGGGAAATAAGAATCACATAAAAAGCTGCCAGTCCTTCATGAGTAAGTGAACACACAGTATGCCAATTGTACTTACAAATGTTCTAGCGTTCAGGGAAGTGTTGGCTATGCTTTGTCCATTAGCATGAACAGAATGTTCCCAGAAAAGCATCAAAGCAAGAAATGCTGTTTTCCTTTTCCATTTAAATCAAACAGTATTTTCAGTTGCTTAGAATAGTGACCAATCTATGTAATACCAACTTAAAAGATACTGTGTGAAATACATAGTATTGAACTAAACAGAAGGTACACAAGATGCAAAAATAAATACCGTACACACTCGAGTATAAGTTGAGTTTTCCAGCACATTTTTAATGCAGTTTTTGTAGTAAAATTAGGTGCCTCAGCTGATACTGGGGTCGGCTTATACTCGAGTATATACAGTATGATGCAGGCAAGCCTCCAAGTACTTTATAATCCAATAAAGAGAATGAAAATACAAAAGGCTGTTAAAGGAGGGGGGTGGAAGAATTCAAACATTGTTATGACAATAGCGGACAACCAAGTTTTTCCATTAGGTAGTGATACATTCTAAACTGCACTTTAAGAGAGTAAGACACACTTGGAAAAGAGAGTGAGGGTAGGAATATTGGCTAGAAGGCTACTGAAATAATCCAAGAAAGAGCCCCAAAACTTGAACTCAGCAGGAAAAGGCAATGGAATGAAAAGAGCATGTATTTAAGAACTATCAAAAAGTCTAACTACACTAAGGGCTCAAGTCGAAAAAAAATGCTTTGAAAATGACAATGGCAACATATGTACAAATGTGCTTGACACAATGGATGGAAAGCTGGATTGTGATAACAGTTACATGAGCCCCCCCCAAAATGATAAAAAAAATAAAAAGTCTACAGACTTGGACAAGGACTGGTTTCTGGAAGTGAGGAAAAGCTTAAGACGTTTTAAATATAGCTGCTGCTATGTATGTGTGTGCATCTCCATGCAGTTTGTCTGAAAAAGGCTGGGCCCCTTCATTACTTATCCAGGGAAATGCTTTATTCAGTAAAAACCCAACATACAAATGATGTGAATAAATCTCAAATGTACATGCATGAATGCATTAGATTCTATTTTAATGTGCTGTATTGACAGTAATTTTCAACAGCACACTGAACGTTGCTGATAAGGGGTAAATGCACTGAATACATTAGACATTATCATGTGAAGTACTTAATGTATAATCTTCTATGCTTATAAACTTTATGGGCCCCTCCTATTATAAAGCAAAAAAAATGAAGAATGGTTGAACAGAATATAAGTTTGGTTTTAGACATACTGATTTTGAGGAATAAAAAGAAATCTAAGATAAGATATCTAGCAGGTACTGAGATATACAGTTCTGTAGCTTCAAAGCTATTGTTGGGAATCATCCTCATAGACAAGCCTTAGACTTAGATGGGAGGGGAAAAGAGAACAAAATAGGCAAAAGATAAGACAATCTGAAGGAGAGGAAAGCAGAAAAGTATAAAGAAAAATTAGAGTTCAATAAGAAAAGAAAAGAATCAAAAGTATAGAGTGGCAACAGAAACTGAATGGGGGCAACAAGTACCACACTTAGGAAAGGCTGACAAGTGGGGAGAGAGAGAGAAAGTTGGATTTGATCACTGGGAAACAAATGATAAGTAATAGTCTCTTTTAAGAGTATACAATATAAACTTATAAAGGACGAAGGAAGAAGCTCAGAAATAGACAAAAATAGTTATAGCTTCACCTTTTAAGTAAAAGAAAGAACAATAAAGAGCATGGCCAATGAACAGTATTTAAGAACAGGGAAGATAGGAGCCAATTGGAAAGCAGAGTAAGGGCTGTACTATTGATTCAAACAATTCAAAAAATGTATCACCTTGGAGGAAGAACATGAATTTAGGAGAAAAAAAAATGTCTCATAGAATGGAGGGAATCTTAACTCTATGTTTAAAACTTAGGTTTTAGTTTGGCTCTATAGTAACTTACTTTATGAGGTTAAATATATCACATTATTTCTCAAGGCTTAAGATTCCTTGTTAACAAAAGGAAGATTTCAAAGGTCTAGCTTTATGGGTTGTATCATTGATTATTCATGCTTATTCAATTTTTTCTAAGTTTATTTCCAATATTATAATTTTCGAGCATTTGCTATGTATAGGATCTATTCTGATAATTCCGCATTTATTAGCTTACTCAATCTTAACACTCACCCTATGAAATACGTATTATGATCATCAACATTATGTAACTGGGAAACTGAGGAAAGGAGAGCTAAGTAATTATCTTAATGCCATGAAAATAGTAAGTGGTAGTAAAAGGATTTGACCTTCAGAAACATAAATTAAGCCTGGACTCATTTAACCGCCTGTACTAGCCGTCTCGCTGATCTAATAATGAAAGCAGGCACAGCTCTGCCAATTAGGACAGCAGCCCACAATGAAAAAGAAGCACAGGAGAGGCCACGTGGGAGTAATCCCGCCTCAGAAAGGGAATGTGTTGGATGAAAATAATAAGATCTCTGTGCAACTGGAAACATATTATTATCCTATCTTTTGGAGCAGGAAGAATAAACGGGATAACTGTTCCCGGTTTTTCCCTTTTACATTAATATGAAATCAATAAACACACATTGATGGAAAGACATTATTTCCAGAGATACACATTTCTAAATTTTAACTTACGTTTAAAATGAAATCTAACATATACCCAACTCTTTTCCTTAGCTCCCAAAACCAGTGTATAGAACGATACAGCCAGATTCCTTTACCAAGTTCACAGATGTACTTATTATGTGTTAAGCAGTAAATGCTTTAGAAACAGGAACCTGTGTCATTCCCATGGCAATCCCACGGCAGAAGCTGAGGCTCAGAGAGGGTTCAATAACAAACCGAGTCAGGCTGTGGATCCTGAGACACAATTTTAATGCTCATGAGCATGACTGATTTTAATTATTCTATTGTCTTGGCAAAGAAATTCCCCTTTTTGGTCACTAGAAGGCTAATAAAAGAAAAATGTACATATCATTTTTCTATCCTCTGCCATATATGTAAAATCGTGGAAACTAGCAATGTTTGTTATCTTTCCACTTAAGTTCTTCATAAGCGAATTACTAAATATCTCCTTCCCTAATTTTCTTTACATGATAACTGAAAAATTAAATGAAAATTAAATGAAAAAATTAAAAAATTAAATGAAAACAAAAGTCTAGGTTCTGTTGTTACTGAAACATGACTTGGTGTTTAGGACTAAAGTGAATGTATTCTACAAACCATGTCCTATTGAGGATGGGCTCTTAAAGGAGTGCAAAGGCCCGAAGTATACTGAACTCTCCCCCAGGTATAGTAGGCTTGTTTCATTAAGGAGATGGTTTAGGGTTCAATTCTGTGCTGGGGGGGATAATACACCTTTCCTCAAACATTGCTAAAACCCTGGGTCCATTCATTGCTACTAATAGTTCTAAAAGTCACACTTGTCAGAGGAGCATGAAACTTCTAACAGTAAGTTGGTTAGCTCAATAACCAAAGGAGAGTTCCGCCCTTTAATTAATTCTTTTCCTCAATGATCATATATTCCCATCTTCCCTTTTAGTTTATAAAAAGGACCTTCCTTTGCTTTCGCTCCAGGAGATGTTCCCCTAGAAACTAACTTTGTTCCTCAGCAAGTACGATTTAATATCATCTACTCCTTTGGTGAGTGAACAAGTAATGCTGAGCCAACAGCCATGAAAAACCACTAAGAACAACGCGGCCAGTTTAGTTCTTCATAAAGAAATGAGAATAGGAGAGACAAAACAAGTTCTTATAGATTAAGTTCTGTGGTACTGAGTTTCTTGAGCTGTTTCTGGCACATAAATTCTCAGAATATTTTACACATTGTGAAATTAGAAGACTGAGAAATAGAGGAGAACTGGATCTAAATTTCACAAAGGCCAATTAAAGAGTAAAAAAGAAACCAGTGTTAGTTAGGTTAAGAATTACATGAGGAGATTTGTTTAAAAAAACCAACTGGAAAATGTGAATAAAGTCTTTAAATTAATTGAATCGCTGTACTAGAACAATACTCGTAGCCTGATTAAAAGTACTGTGGGACCAATGTCAAAATTTGAATTCACTAAGGTTTGAAAAGGACATGGACCCTGAATGTTGGGGAAGGGAAAAAATAAGGCCTCTTTTCTGATTGATGCCATCACGTGGTTGGGAGCACCGGAGAACAGTCCAAGAACTCTCTGCTCTGTAACCAAAAAACCAAATCCCAACACCTGTTGTGATATTGCTTCCTACTCAGATGAGCATATTCTCTAACTCACTGAAATAGTTGCTTACCCTTCTCCATATTTACTTGTTAAAGACAGAATTGAGTTGGAATTAAAATCTTATTTTTAGTATTCACATATTTACCATTTCATTTTTTGTTTTTTTTCATTGTTTTAAATCATTTTATTAGGGGCTCATACAACTCATCACAAACATTTATCAATTGTGCAAATCACATCTGTACATTCATTGCCCTCATCATTCTCAAAACATCCACTCTCCACCTAAGCTCCTGGCATCAGCTCCTCATTTTTCCCCTCCCTCCTGCTCCCCCTCCCTCATGAACCCTTGATAATTTACAAATTATTATTTTGTTATATCTTGACCTATTCGACATTTCCCTTCACCCACTTTTCTGTTGTCCGTCCCCCAGGGAGGGGGTTATCTGGAGATCCTTGTAATTGGTTCCCCCTTTCCAACCACTCTCCCTCTACCCTTCCAGTATCGCCACTCACACCACTGGTCCTGAAGGGATCATCCACCCTGAATTCCTTGTGTTTCCAGTTCCTATCTACCAGTGTACATCCTTTGGCCATATTTGTAAGGTAGAATTGGGATCATGATAGTGGGGGGTGGGAGGAAGCATTTAGGAACTACAGGAAAGTTGTATGTTTCATCATTGCTACATCACACCCCGGCTAGTTCGTCTCCTCCCCGAGACCCTTCTGTAAGGGGATGTCTAGTGGCCTGCAAATGGGCTTTGGGCCTCCACTCTGCACTCCCCACCTCATTCACTATAAGATTTTTTGTTCTGAAGATGCCTGATACCTGATCCCTTCAGCACCTCGTGATAATGCAGGCTGGTGTGCTTCTTCCATGTGGGCTTTGTTGCTTCTGAGCTAGATGGCCGCTTGTTTACCTTCAAGCCTTTAAGACCCCAGATGCTATATCTTTTGATAGCCGGGCACCATCAGCTTTCTTCACCACATTTGCTTATTGACCCGCTTTGTCTTCAGCGATTGTGTTGGGAAGGTGAGCATCATAGAATGCTAGTTTCATAGAACAAAGTATTCTTGCATTGAGGGAGTACTTGAGTGGACACTCAATGTCCATCTGCTATCTTAATACTAAGCCTATAAATATATGCACATAGATCTATTTCCCCATCCTTACATATAAATATATTTACATATGTACATGCCTTTATTTAGACCTCTATAAATGCCCTATGCCTCCCCGCTCTTTCCTCCATTTCCCTTGACTTTCCTCTTGTCCCACTATCATACTCAGTCTTCATTTGGATTTCAGCAATTCCTCTTGGTTACATTACCCTTGATCAAGTCCTACCAGGCCTTCTACACCCTCCTCACCACCGATTTGGATCACTTGTTGTTCCCTTGCCCCTGGGATTGCTTACACGACCACCTTTCCCCCCACCTCTCCTTCTCCCATGTCCCCCCGGAATTGTCAGTTCTATTGTTTTCTCCTCCAGATTGTTCATCCAGTCTATCTTAGACAGACCTGCGGAGATAATAACATGCACAAAAACAAGACAGAGCAAAACCAAGCAACAATATACAATAAAACAACAACAATAAACCAATAGCAAATACTGTTGTATTCTAACTACACTTTTGGAGTGCCTGTAATTACTGTTGTTGTCAACTCAGCTGCCACTGAGTCCACGCTGAGTTGGCATTTCAAGGGGTATCTTACCTCTGAGATTGTTTGCAGTAGTTTGTCCACTTGAGCAAATGCTTGTGGAAGAATACCATCATAATTTGACCTTGTACTGAAAGCATGTAACAAAGTTTTGGAATCCTGAAGCAGGAATTTCACTGTTGCAAAATCCAATGTACTATCAGCTGGATCAAGAAAATTGAGAAAGGAAAAATATGTACAACTGAGAACAACACACAATTTTTTTGGAAAACTAATGAGCCTGTACTTATGCTTGTGTACCCACACATCAAATTTATCCTACTTTAAAAAAGCAGCAATTAAGCAGGATTCGTTATAAACATGACCATACTACTCAAGGACAACTCGTTAACTAGCAACAACATTGCAAAAAGGTTGTAGTTGACTTGAGTAATTCTATAATCTAAACCCTGTCAACCTAAAGTAAAAGCAAAGTGAACGGACATCAGACGTGGAGGAATCAAGAGACACATTCTACTGGAATGCCACAGGTAGTATGCAGGACCTCTCACAAGGAGTACTCAGTAACCAGGCAGAAGCACGTCATCGACAGAAAAGTACGCCTACGGTAGTGAGTGCTGACATTGCAACCCTGTCCAAACCTATGACCCCCATCTTTGGATAACTAACAAAGTATCAGCTCCCCAAATTTAAGTCAAGCACATTAATCTTTTACTTAACACTTAGGGGTGTACATGAAAATTATAACTATACCTCCCTTGCTTTCACCGACAAAATTGGGCCTATGGTGCAACCAGGTATTTTCCCCCATTCTCTTTCTACATTCAGCAGAGCAAGATTGCACTCTGCCTTCACCCAGGGAGCCTCTCAAAGGCAACACTCTCAGTTTAACTTGCTGAGTGATCCCTCACAGCTGGTGCTGGAAAGTGCAATGGTTGCAATCAGCCAGTAGCACTCCCAACTTCAAGTGCTGTTCAGGGCACATGCCATACCTGCCATTAGGTATGCCTCTGCTATCATGTAGTGATTTACCTTCAAATTCTGGTTTACACTAAGTGTAACGAAGATAATGTGCTGTCTCTCTTGGAACAATACTACTTTAACAGGAAAGAAATAATCTGGAGAACAGTGGGAGGAGAAAAACAAGCACAATTCTTTTTCTTTGTTTAAAATTTTTTGAGATGATCTTTATAGTTTAAAAATGGAACAAATTTCTCCCAAGGAAACAAAATTACCTAAATTCTCAAACTAGTTAGGACAGGGTAGCAAATTACTTCATACTTTTAAACTGATGAACAATAAAACAACTTTGTAATGTCACAAATCTACAGAAAAAACAACTTTCCACCGTTAAGGCAGAATGCCACGGAAGAGTTTTTAATGGGCTTAATAACAATGATTCGTGTTCGCTTTCCTTTTTTTTTAAATGTTCACAGTTGCAGAGACTATTAAGATTTTGAAACACCATTATCATTCTTCACTAGCACTAAGGGGATTTTGCGTATGTGGTTGTTTTACCGTCCTCTGAATCCCTTTTATAAAAAACACTTGATTGTCAAGCGAAAGGAAAGTTTATTTCCTTTCAGGAATGCTTTCAGTTATTTTCAAAGTCAATGATGAGTTAATAATCCTTTGAATTAAAAATAATAGATACCAAAAAAAAAGAGATACATAGGATTGAATACAAACATGATAAATATCCTGAGGTATTATTTTGAAGGTGCTTCTCCAATGTAATTTCTGCCCTAATTCAACCCTTCAACTAACTTTTTATTTCTATCTTACAAAAATGCTTCCTAAGATTTCCTAGAATAATTAACTGTTCATGAAGAAAGAATGAACACTCTCTCTTGAAAGAAGCACAGCCAGAGTGTTCATTACCAGCAAAGATGGTGAGACTTTGGCTCACGCACTTTAGACACAGTATCAGGAAGGCCCAGTCCCTGGAGGGCATGACACTTGCAGAGTCCATGAAAAAGAGAAAGAACCTCGACAGGAGGGATTGACACAGGGGTACAACTACGGGCTCAGATATGACTGCGCTGCTAGCCGAGATAGGGCAGTGCTTCTTCCTGCTGTACACAGGGTGGCTGATTCAGAGTTGACTTACCAATACCTAACAATAGCAAGACGATGCAGAGAAAACAGCAAAAAGATAAACTCAGTCCACAGCTACAAGAAATCTAGATGACTAAAACAGGTTAATGCTTATATAAGGCCAACCACTACTTCGACAAGTTACTATGAGAAACAAAATCTGCTACTAATAATTTTCTATACACTTTTTAATGAACTGATAAAAGGATGCACGTATGGTTTACAAAAGTAATTTAACATCTGAGAATACTATTAATAGTCAGCAAAAGAGAAAACCAGTATTTTCCTAATTTAAATTAATTTAAAGCAGAAGATATTTCCATTATTCCATTATATTTTCTTTACAAGTCAAAAAATATTAAGCAATGGATTCTAAATCAAGGATCAATTAATTTATATAATGAATTTTTAAATAGTTTTTTAGCAGAAGGACCAGTCACCACCTCTTCACTTTTCTCCCTAGTGCCAATTACAGCTGCCTCCCACCACCACTACTCAGAACTCACTGCTGTGAGTCAGGGCTGACTCAGGGGGACCCCCAGTAGGTTTCCCAGACTGTAACTGTTGATGGGAGATGTCCCCTTCTTTCTCCTGTGGAGCGGTTCCTGGTATGGAACTACTGACTAAAGGGATCACAGCTCAACGTGTAAAAGCTACCTCACCAGGGCTCCATGAAAAAAGTAAAAAGCAGACAATGGAATGGGGCAACCAGATACCTCACTTAAAATCGAGAATTTCTTTGCAACCATACTAAGTAAAAAAAAAAAAGTATTGCCACAAATCATAGAAACTATTATTAGACAAAACCATCAAAATGAGGAGTTAATTTTTTTCTAAGTTCCCCATTTAGGTCTATATTACTACAAAAGTCCTATCTCCATCTAGCCTTTCGGTAAGCAGTTAAGCACTTAAGCAGAAAAAAACCAGGTCACTTCACATCAGGAGTTTGAAAACTCCTGGACATACCCATAATGATCAAACTGTTTCAAGAAGGAACCCTGGTGGGGAGGCCCAGTGAGGAAGCACTTCGGTGCTACATGAAAGAGCAGCAGCTTACACCAACCAGCCTGCTCCACGGGACAGCGATGTGGCAGTCTCGACTTCCGAAGACTGTAGCCTTGGACATCCTGTGAGGCAGCTCTACCCTATTCTATATGGTCTCTATGAGTCAAAACTGACTCAATAACAAAAGGTTTTGCTTCCAACACATAGAGCAAAACAAATACATCTGTTTGGTTTCATACAAATAACTCAGACTTTGATAGCATTCGGTAAGTTTCTCCTTTTTATTCTAAGCTGAGACTCCCCCATCCCCTGCCAATCCTATATCGAATCTCAACATATGAACAGACAAAAGATAGTTGCTTTGGCTAAAGGTGGGTTGAAGGCCAAAGGTCCACTACTCCCAGATGCAGTACAGTGAACTGCTTGACATGACTCTTCTGAGCACGGTCTAGAAAGGCCCACTAAATAACTGGGTGGGATCATGCAGATAGGATGCATGGAACTCTACATGGGGATTGGTCAGTTTTGCCATTCTGCTGAGTTGTGTCTCAGAAGCAGGAATGCATCCTTTGGCTTGGAGATCCCTGAGGGCTGTACCTTCTCAATCTAAGACACAAACCTGTGACATTGACGTGGTGGTGAAATGGGAACAGCCAACACATCACCACCAAAACAAGGCACAGCAGTGTTTCCCAGCCCATGGATTGAGAAAGCTGAGTAGGGTACTTTTAGGCACTAAATGTGGGGAGATGACTCATGCAAGTGCCTTTGAACCAAGGCTTTGGGCATTTCTCAGAAGCACTAAAAGAGCATCAGAACTTTGCAAAAGCAGCAAACAGGGCCAGGAACCGCATAGCTAGGAAACGGAGTACCAGAGACAGGCAGGTGTGCTATGGGCACAGCAGAAGACTCTGCTGACCTAAAGAGAGTATCCTGGGCATTTCTGAGCCTCAATTACAACCTATTAGCTTCTCTAATAATCCCCATAATTATGAGCATTCTCTGTGACTTGTGTGACAACTGCAATGAATTATCATACCCAGCAGAAAAGTGGACAGTGTTCTGGAAGGGATGGTTGGTGTCAGAACTGGTAAAAGAAGTAGAGGATATTTAGGCATGTCTGACTTCCACCCCTAGGAAGGAACTTTGGGCTAATATTGAATTGTGAAGTCCCACCAGATCAGATGCCATTATACCAGGCTCCCAATCAACCTCTCTATCCCAGTCACTGGTAGCCCGAGAGCCACTTCAGAGTCGGTGAGCTCTGTACAACACAGTTTAAAAACCGACTCATGGGGTCTTTTTCAGTCCTAACATTCACCACAGCCGAAGGTTTCTTATTTCGTATCCATTCAGTTTTCATGACAATCTCGCTATCCTATTTTTAAAATACATGAAATGTGTTCAATGTTGTATGTTAAATAGTGTAAGAAATTTTTAAAGGCGGATTTACATAAATAGACTATAAAATAACAAACGTTTCCAAAGCAAACATTAAAAACAACATGTTCACAATATCCAGGAACACAAACAATTATATCATTTATAATCACCAAGTCTATTAAACTGCATCTATTTCAACCAGTCGTCACAAGTCCTCTTTTGATTTTAGAAATATCAGTGATTAAGAACTAATTTCCAAATTTATTCATTCATCTTCACATCTCATAGGATATATGCTAGTCTGATTTAATATTTTAATGCAATGCTAATTGGCTCTTATGACACAGCCCTGGCTTGATGCTCACCCTCATCATGAGATCACTGAAGATGTGGATGCTACAGCAAAGTGTGGTGACAAAACTGGTGTCTGGCTATCCGAAAGCCAGCATCTGGGGTCTTAAAGACTTGTCGTAAAGCAAATAGCCCTCTAAATGAGGTATCAACCAAGCCCACATAGAAGCAGCACCCCAATGTGTGTGATGCAAAGATTGTAGTTAACAAAACCCAAATCTGAAATAAGGAATGGTTTCAGAGCTTAAATTGTGCAGGAATTTTGCAGGAAGCTATGGATGACAGTGGAAACCCAAAATCCATTTGCAGGGTGCTCGCAATGATGAGCTGCTAATGAATCCTCTAATGGCCTTAGTTGAGGGATGTGAATAGCCTTGGGACCAGAGATCACTGTCAAGTCAATTATGGTAGATACAGTTGGATTTAAATGTATTACCTTATCATTTTATTTCCCTGTTGTCCCATTTTAAAGTTGTTTCAGCTTTCAGTATTTTATCCTTTCTTTTTGGATGAGGTTTTTTCCTAGGTTTTATCTAATCATTATTGTTTAATTTTTTTTTTTGTTTGCTTTATACAGGAAGCAAAGGACAAGTGGATCTATAGAGACTAACTGGCTTGATAATTTTCTGGGGAAATGGCTGCGAAGGATGGGGAGAAATGGAGACCTAATGACAGCGAGAACAATTAGAAAGTGTTCTGAAATTTTGATGATGATTGCAAAAATCTTCTTAGTGCAGTTAAACGACTGAATTGTATATCCCTAGCTAATTGTATAATTATGTACCCCTATAAAAACATAATAAACAAAAAATTCATACCTTTACACAGATTGTCATATAGGCTCTCAATGATTAAAAGTAAGTTGTTTTCCATAATTAATCCAAATACAGCTAACCAATGTTTTTTAAAACACTGAAATAAATGTACTAAAGTCCATGGTGGTTTCAAGTACAGCATCTAAAAATATTGGGGGGGGGTGAGGGGTAGGAGAAACACAGAAATATTAGTATCTATGAGTTTGTTATTTCTATCATTAAAAATTATTTATCTAGGAATTCCTACACGTTTTTAAGTAAAATATAATTAGTTAAGTTCATTTTTAATTTAAAGATATTTTATTGAAAACTAATCATAACCTTAAAATGCCAGTTCATTGTGAATTACGTGTGTAAACTTCATTATTAGCATTAACCCTCATTGTTACATAATCTCTATGTATAAAAAAAAAAGCATGATTTAATCAAAGGAAACATCATTCTAACCAGCAAGGTCTCTAAAGCTACTTTTATCATGCTAATTTCTATGAAGAAATCAATCTGTTTCACAAAACAGTGGAGTAGAGGAGCTATCTATATAGAAAAATAGTTAAATATAATTGCCATACTTTTGCAGATATGTTTTTTAAAAACAGATCACTTATTTCTATCTGATGGCAATGCTTCCTTTTCTGAATGGTTCTTATGCAATGACTTTCCTTAACCATACTATGAAACATCTGACGGTGCCAACTTCCAGATCACTTTTCATTATCCTGTTTCCAAAGCGGCAGTAACAAACATTAACTATAATACTGGCAAATATTAGAACCATACTGAGATAAATATAAACCTTAATTAATGTGGAATACTATTTCTCTTAACAATGAACATGAACAGCGAACAAAAACTAAACTAAGCTCTCTATTGTTAAACACAGTATTTCATTGATGGCAGAAATATGAATCTACAGAAAATCAAAATCTCTTGCTACCATGATTAAATGTACATATTCTGATTTATCTATACATTTTATATTTACATGGCATGAACTAAAATATATACCGTATATGCTCGTGTATAAGCTGAGTTTTTGCGGCATGTTTTTTTATGCAGTTTTTGTGGTAAAATTAGGTGCCTCGGCTGATATTAAGGTCAGATTATACTCAACTATATATAAGTAGTTATATTCAAAAACATATTCTATTATATTCAGGATGTCCTCAATTTAGACATTTTGATTCAAACAAAACCAAATGAAAGAATTTTCATTGAATTCAATTTAAATATATTCTCCTTGCCATTAACAAATTCCCTATATTATTTTCCAACTTAAAGCAAGTTAGCAAAAAAATATGTCTTTAAAAAATCCCTTATCTTTGAGACGTCGGACAGGGCAAGATATGACAAAATACCCATTTATAAACTATCAAGGGCTCATGCGGGAGGGGGGAGAGGGGAGGGAGGGGAAAAATGAGGACCTAATGTCGGGGGTTTAAATGGAGAGAAAATGTTTTGAGAAACGATGTACAAATGCGCTTTACACAATTGATGTGTGTATGGATTGGGATAACAGTTGTATGAGCCCCTAATAAAATGTTAAAAAAAAAAAATCCCTTATCTTCAATGGCAATCACCTTCCATGACATGATCAGCCCATCACTCTTACTCCAGTCACATTCCTGCTCTGATGTAAGGGGAGTTCTTAGGGGTGTGGCCTGCATCATCTTTATTTTACATGGCATAGCAGAGCGGGGAGACTTCAGTACAGCCCAGAGGGAAGAAACTGGCACAGAGCTTGTCCTTTGGACTACAGATGGGTGACTGGGGGATTCGGGGTGGAGGAGGTGTGTGTCCTATGCTGAGAATATTATAGATCAGTATTGAATGGAACCAAGGGCCTTCCCCCAGGTCCAACAGAACTGGCTAGCTCCTTGAACTTGTACTTTTAATCTCCTAAACTGTGGTACAATAAATTTCTGCTTGTGAAAGCCATCTACTTATGATATCTCATTATAGCTAAGACAGTGCCATTTGTAAATTATTGTTTGCTTTGTGGACCATATAGTCTGTTAGAACTACTCAATTCTATCCTTGTACCACAATATTATAGTACAGCATGTAATATATTTTGAGTCAATGCAAACTTACTTATAAAAATAAGCAGTGAGTTGGATTTGGCCCCTAACTGATTTGTCCATCTATCTAAATATTTTTCAGCATCAATTATTTTCCTACAGACTACATTTCACACAAAAAATAAAAGATTTTTAAAAGACCAGCTCATGACTCATACCACAATTCTTTAATGCAGTTCCTCATGTTGTGGTGACCCCCAACCATGAAATTATTTTTGTTGCTACTTCATAACTGTAATTTTGCTGCTGTTGTGAATTGAACGATCCCTGTGAAAGGGTCATTCGACCCCCAAAGGGGTCACGACCCACAGGTTGAGAACTACTGGTCTAAATCCTTATACTATTCATTGGCACCCAGTCAATTCTAACTTACAATAAATCATTAGGACATAAAAACTAGCCCCAAGGGTCCAAAGGCCAGGGGTCCTCAAACTTTTTAAACAGGGGACCAGTTCACTGTCCCTCAGACCTACTGGAGGGCCGGACTAGTTTAAAAAAACCTATGAACAAATTCCTATGCACACTGCACATATATTAATTATTTTGAAGTAAAAAAAACAAACGGGGCAAAAACACCGGCGGGCCAGATAAATGTCATCAGTGGGCTGCATGTGGCCCGCGGGCCGTAGTTTGAGGACCCCTGCTATAGGCTCTGCAGAAGACACTTGCCACATCTTACACCCACAGAAACTGGTAGGTTCTGAGCCAGGGACCTTTCGGTTAGCTGCTGAGCACTTAACTACTGTCACACCAAGGTCATTATATAACAGGTCTTTAAGAGTTCATGAAAAATGAGAATTATGCAGGGGTGGGGGAGAATTGGCACCAAAATAATTTTGTTATGTCTGAACTGGATCTAGCTGGAGGCACTTAGAAAAATAAGACATTGGTTTGAAATGAGTGTGTGTCAGAGCAACGTGAACTCTGCTAAAATTGAAGCAAAAGCAAGCATCAAATTTATGGTGATGCTTGGGTGGGAGAATGGTGAGATTACTGATGCTTTATGAAAAGTTTATGGGGACAAGGCCCCAAAGAAATCAGCAGTTCGTCCTCACCCCCCGGCAGTCCTGGGGCTTTGGGGCTCGGCACAAGGGGGAGTCCCTCTGGGACATGGGGGCACAGTGAATGGTGTGACCCTTTGCTGGGCATGCCTACACAGTAGGGTTTGCTGCACCCCTTTAGGGTTTCCCATATGTGCTCCAATAAATCTGTTCCCTTTTGCTTAAAAAAAAAGAAATCAGCATTTACAAACAGGTAACTCATTTTAAGAAGGGGTAATATGGAGTTGACGCCAACAAGGGCAGATCAAAACCAAACTCCCGGCCATCCGGTCAGTGCCAATTCACAGAGGCCTTAGAGGGCGGGGCAGGACTGATCGGTGAGTCTCCAAAAACTGTGGCTCTTGGAGTAAAAACCCTGTCTTCCTCCCCGGGAGAGATGACCCACAGCATCTTTCAAGGAAGCAATCTTGTTCTTTCCGTAACTCAAGTGAACCAACAGTGAGCAGAGAGAACAAGGGCCAGCACCAAAGACATTGCACTTGGGTCCATTTACACAATTCTACGTAAAAAATAATTTTTAATCAAGTTGAGCAAGACCCTGCCCAATGGATGACAAAACTGTGGCAACTAGATGAGCTGTCAAGAACAGAGCAAGTGGGATCAAGATCCTGAGGTATTTTTCAAAGAATTGTTAACATGGTTTTTATCAGCATGATTCTGAGGACAAAGCACCATCAAAGCAAAACTACCCCGAGGTGGAAGTGGTCCAGTCACAGCAAAATCAGAATGGGCATGAACCAAGGCTATGGTACAGAGTTTGAGGATGCTCAAGGCATTTTGCTTGCTGATTTTCAGACGGGCCGAAAAATATTAATGCATGCTTGCTATGAAAGTTCTTTGACAAAATTGGTCAAAACTTTAGTAGAAAACACTCCGGTGACAGGAGGAAAGTAAAAGGAAGTAGAGGAAAGAACTAGGAGGAAAAAGACTTTTATAAAGGTATGAAGATGTATTTATGTACATATGTAAATATGTTTATATGTGATAGGGATATAGGTCTATGTAAATATATTTATATGTATTAAGGTAGCAGACGGACATTGGGCCTCTATTCCCTCAATGCAAGAACACTTTGTTCTAGTAACCTGGCATTCTGTGATGTTCACTTTCCCTAAAGGTTCACTGAAGACAAAATGGGGACATAAGCAAATGTGGTGAAGAAAACTGATGGAGCCCGGCTATTAAGAGATATAGCATGTGGGTTCTTAAAGGTTAAACAAGCAGCCATCTAGCTGAGAAGCAACAAAGCCCACCTGGAAGAAGCACACCAGTCTGTGATCATGAAATGATGGCTGAATCAGGTTATCAGGTATCCGAAGATCCAAAACAAACAACTATATCGATGCGAACAAGAGGGGTCAGGTGGATACGCAAAGTCCATCGTCTGAAGACAATCGATATCCCCTCCCAGAAGGGTCACAAGGAAGGGATGATTAATACAGCACCGATGAAACACACAACATTCCTTTAGTTCCTGAATGCTTCCTCCCCACCAACAATTATGACACAGTTCTACCTTACAGATATGGCTAGACCAGAGGATGCACAATGTTACAGATAAGAACTCTCTGCACATGGAATCCAGGACAGATAAACCGCCCCAAGAACAGTAGTGAGAGTGGCGATACCATGATGGGAGGGGGGGAGGAGTGAGGAGGGAAAATAATTTTAAAAAGAAAGAAAACACCCAAGAAAGCTTCATCAGAGAATTGTTCACCACAGCAATGCACCTATTCATTTCCCTCATCAAATAAGAGTAATTTTACGAGAGTGTGAATGGGAAATCATTAGGCATCCATTTACCTTATAGTCTTGATTTGGTTCCTTCTGACTTCATTTCTTAATCTTAAAAAAAAAAACCCACCTTTAAAGGGCAATGCAGGGACAGTAAAATATTTAACACTGCTCTTCTAACCAAAGTCTCTAACTTTACCAAACGACCTCTTCCAGCATGGCTCTGGTAAGATGGGGAAGAAACTGACAAGACTCATCTGTGAGTAATT